GCTTTCAAAAGCCATTACGAAGGCTTGAGTTGGTGTCTGTAAGCATACTCTGGTGACTAACCTGAATGACAAAAAGGTTGGTTTAAAAAAAAATTATAATAAACCCCACGTATATATAATTGCAATAGGAAAACTTGTCATACAAAGCAGATTTCAAACAGCATCAGTCAAATCTATTTGTCATGCGTTATAGGTAGCCTATAGAAGAAAACATCAGATTACTACAGAGATATTAAAGATAGGTAAAATGTAGTATTGTCAAAAAAGGAGGTAGGAGGAAGGAGCAGGATAAAAAAATATTAGCACCAAATAAAGCCAAAATGTTTGCCATGAGGTTTAAAATATTGACAATGGATCCCCAAGGATCCTGCACATCTTCAGACACGGGTCCTGCCGAGCTCCGACAGCCCTCCAGATGCTGTGGATGCCTCAAGCACTGCAAACGCCTGCAGAGTTTGCTCCGTAACTTAGTGTGCAAGTGGAAACAGCAGCAGGGGGGCTGTAGAAACTATGCTGCCTAAGGAGGCAGATCAGCACGAGTCAAAGCGTCACCTCTGGTTCGAGATACCAAAGCCCCCGCTCCCTCCACTTGCCTTGGCATAGGAATTACGTCAGACAATATTACCTGCATCGATGCAAAGCACCTTCCCTCAAATATAAGTAAATCAGTATTGCAAGAATATGATTTTGTGGAAAATGTTCAGAAGACAAGGAGGGTTTAGGGAATCATTAGCGGTGGATTGAAACAGATATTTAGTAGTGTCTACCAAAGTAACTCAGCAAAGAATCCCACAAAAAAGCACAAGCTATTGCATATTTCACATTCGCCATTCAGCAACAATATGATCATATTATTAATGATAAATTAAGGATTGGAGGAAATAACAGGCTGTGAACCATAAAAATTAGACTTTAATTACTATTGTATTGAAGTAAGCACAAGAAATATAGACGTAAGAGAAAGATAAGAGAACACAATGATTTTCTGACATACGAGAGAAGCAATGTATTTATTTTAACCAAATTTCCCAGTGAAAGGAAAAAAAACTAGTCCATTAAAAAGAAATATAGAAACATGTCTGTATTCAAAATAATTAGACTGTAAGTATATTGTAGAACTCAATCTTTTGAAGGCCTGTCCCACCCCTATGTAAATACTGCTGTAAATTGAAGTCTCACAAGAAAGGAAGTCAAGTTTACACTAATATATATTATTATTGCCACCAGTATGGATCTGGCATTGTAATTCCTTGTTTTGTAGTGCTAAAATACGTACTTGCTACCATGCAAAAACTGACTATCTCTACCTTCTTTCATTGTCTATACAAAGAAAACTTAAATTCCTGATTCCCTTTGTAGCATCTGACATGGGCACAGCATTAATAAAGCCAGGTACAATATTCTTCCTCTCTCACTCACAAGCACACAAATATTTCAAGACATCACATAAAAAAGTAGTATAACAGCTGTCAAGTATTTTGTATTGAAGAAAGAAAGGAAGGGAGGAAGAAACATGACGTGTTGGACATTTCCACAGGAGTGGGTCACTGTGACACATCTCAGCAACGGGGCTGCAGCTGCCTCAAGAGCCTGGGATGCACCATCTACGTGCCACAGCCATCCTTCTTGGCTGCTCTCCTCCTCTGCAAACTCTCCCCTGTGCCCATCAGGCTGGAGCTACGCACCCTTGGCCATGCACCTCACTGGTCCTCAACCCCAGCCTACCAACTGGGCTTGCCCCGGATCTGCCTTCCACCTCACGGGGCAATCTCAACCTCCCCCTATCCTGATGGGTGCCTGTGCCACCCCACGATGTTGACATGCAAACATTAGTCGTACAGTAAACCGTATGCATCACGCTCATTGTTGGTCCTCTCTGACAGAGCATACACCAAAGGGGAGAAAAATTTCCCTAACGTAAAGAAACTCAACTTCACCTCCTATTTTCATGCATATAACATGCCTATAAATTGTCCCTGAGGGCACTTCCAGTGACATTATGGGGCATGTCATTCACAGCTCTTCTAGGATAAAACCACTCGGCTTTGCCAGTCTCATCGCTCCAATCAGAACTGTTAATGAGATGCCCTAAGATACAAATGGAAGACATTTCAGAGCACCATAAAAATTTACAAAGAACAGATTCAGAGGAAAGAACAGTAAGTACCACACAGCTGCTGATCCTCTCAAATTAATTATCTTTGCACCCCAAAAATCAATATTAAATATCTGAGTCTTCCTGTTTCCTTGTTTGGGAGTTACTTGCTAATTTTGCTAATAAAATGAAATAAAAGGTAGAAATAATTCATGTTGTCCATTAGCAGATCATTATGAAAAATAAGTTTGTCAATATCTCCTCTGTACTTGTCTTGTGTTGTTCTATTAGATCTTTGCTCATGATTTCTTGTTTTTT